GTCGGAGAAACTGGAGCATCTGTTATGATTTGGTGTCGCTGATCGTTACTCATGTCAGCGTTGGTTAGTCGGCCCCCTACTCTCAATATTCGATTTTCATCCAGAAACGGGTTTAGGGGTAGAAGTGGACTGCGACCCTCAATTCCGGAATTAGATACAAGTGCTTTAATATCCTGTTTGAAAGTATTACCTTGTGCCTGACGAATGTGTAAGACCAGCGCCAAGTTCTGCTCTTCGGCGGAGACCACAACCCCTCTGTTGCCTCGAAATAACGGTAGTATGCGTCTAAGCCGCGCCGTGGTTTTGAGAAGATGTCCCAACGTGCTAAATCTCTCTATGCGAGGTACACGATAACCGTCAACTGATGTCATGAGCCACTGGCAGTCAACACGAGATACTAGCGTATACAAAGGGCGAGATTCGGATCTAAAAATGTGATGATCTTCCTCCGTCATCGTGACTGGTTACGATCCTACGGTTGTGTGTTGATGGATGCATGTCGGTCCGGCCCACCAAAGTCGATGACTTTCTAGACCAGATGGCGCCAAGCCCCTGCTTGCGCAATCCGCCGGATTAAGCTCCGATATGGTTCCAGGAATATACATCAGAATTGGCCTGGATGAAAGCGACTCGATTCGAAACGTACTGTTCGAAAGCAGAAAGTGCATTGCGGATCCAACATAATTCAACAGTTGAATCGCGCCAATATATGCAAGGGACATATTGTAGGTCAAGAGCCTGACGGACGTGGTTCATAGTGATTGTAAGTAGGTGGGCACCACATAGCTCAAGGCGTGGAATGGTCACTTCCTTGACTGCAGCGACCTTGGTCTTTGCAGCAACCAGAACTGCACCTGAATTGCCATTGTGATCCACTGTTTGGACATACACCGCAGCTGCATATGCCTTACGACTAGCATCACAGAAACCATAGAGCCTCACCATCGAATCTGAACGCATGCCTAGCTAACCCGTTGCGGAATATTAACCAAGCATTGAGCAGGTCAGGTGGGAGTGCTGAATTCCACTGCAATCCCGCCTTCCACAGATCCTGAATAAAGAGTTTTGCTACAATGACAACTGGTGCCAATAAGCCAGTCGGATCATACAATCTAGCTACGTCGCTAAGCACTGTCCGTTTGGTAGGCATCGCTGACTCGTCGAAACCCCGTACCTTGAAGAAGAGCTCGTCATGCAACGGATCCCAATGCAAACCTAGTACCTTCGTCGCTGAATCGTTCAACTCCAGCTCGGATGCAGACATTGTTGAACCAGTGATGGTAGCAAGCGTGTGTGAGCAGTTGGAGTTCCATTTCCCCAACACAAATTGACCTTGCTTCAAGATGGTCTCCACATCTTGTGCCCGTGTGATTGCTAGTTCGGACGTGTCGACACTGTCCTGATAGTCGTCCCCGTAAAAATTATAAAGGATGCTATGTTGCGCTGCGGCAGCCAGGCTGGGGTCACTGATGGTCTTACAATTGTCCTGCGCACATTGACGCAGCGCTCGTACCGCATTAAATGGACTACAAGCCATTCCATACGTCACCGTTGTCAACTCGTATATTTGGAGAGGAACGTCTGAAGCCTCACGCCAAAGAATTTTTTTCCATTTTCTATGACGTTGGTCGACCAAGACTTGACGGAACATCTTCTTCACGTCTGCAGTGATGGCTACGCTGAATTTGCGAAAACGGTGAAGAATGTCGACCAAGTTTGGGTGTAGCTGTGGGCCCGAGAATTGCACGTCGTTCAGTGATACGCCATTCGAGCTATGTACTCCCTCATGAAAGCCGTATATTGCTCGCGTAGATCAGCGTCGTTCGCTAATCTCCGTTCCAATTGTCGGAACTGACGTTCTGCAGATTGGTATGAATCGCCAATGATGGGTGCATCTGGTTTAAATATGATCTGCACCTGATATCGGCCATCCGTTGCGCGTGTAAATGTGTTGGTGAATACCCTTTCACAGTCATCTTCTCGAGTTTCTGATGCAACGGCTGGCTCTTCGAGGTCCCAGAAGCTTCGAAGTAGTTTGTCGAGTCGTTGTTCGTTGACGCGTTTGACAGCATGCGATGTGAGCTTTGCGGATAGTGTTGAACTACCATGAGCTGGCCCAAACACTACCCAACCAAGCCGTGTATTCAAGGCGCAAGGCTGTTCTGCAGATCCCCGAATTAAGCCTTCCAGCAAGAGATCCTTAAGCACCTCAGCACCGAGAAGCAAATCCACCCGACTCGGGCTACCAAACGTAGGGTCCGCCAGCGGCAAATCCTGCAAATGAGTCCAGTAGTGCAATTCACTACGCTACTTTAACGTTTTTCGCATCGTTAAGTTAGCTAAAAGTAAATTTTATCGATTTTGCTATTCATTAAACGTTTTTCTAACGAAATTCGCTTTGACAAAATCAGCTGTTATCGTGAACGTTTCGATTGTGGCTAAGTTCTCGACAAAAATTTTTGTGTCGTTAACATAATCGAAATTTCAAGTTTTTAGTTGCACTTTGTTTTAAAAATGGCTTTTGTACTTAGGATACACCCTATTTCGGAGCGAGCGGGAATTTTGTCCTCCAACAGTGGATCGAAGTGTGTTGAGAAATGTGGACAACCCATTTAATTTAGGACCAACGGAGTTCAAGAAATTGTATTGCTTAAGTCCAAACTTGGCAGATGACCTAGTTTGGCAGCTTGATGGGCATCTAAGAGGTTCAAGAGTAACCGCAATAAAGACGGAAAAACAGGTAACTTACAAAACTTTTTAGTTTTAATGCAATTTTAAATACTTTTCCATTGTGCTTGGATAGGTTCTAGCGGTCCTACGATTTTTTGCGACAGCATGTTTCCAACGGCCCGTAAGAACAGTGGGGAATATCGATGAGCCAGTCATCGATAAGCCGGTCCATACACCGCGTGACGGATGCTATTTATCATAATATGTTCTGCTCCAAGGGACGATTTCCAATGACGCAAGCGGAGCGGCAAGCCGCAAAGGAAATTTTCGCTTCCGCCTCCTCACCTTTCGTTGCAGGTTCTATTGGGGCTATCGACTGCTCTCATATCGCTATTTTGAGCCCGAAGAACCATGAGGAGGCTTATGTAAACCACCATGGTTACCACTCAATAAATGTACAAATGGTAAGAGGGAAATTTTATAAAAGATTAAAAATTATAAAACCTGGGCTCGAATCGTAACATCCGTTCACGGATTGAAAACGATACGAAGGAAAAATACGTGATACGTCAGGCAGTATAAGCTGAATGGGGCAAAGAGTACGTTCACGTATGTGACAATCCGAAAAATGTGTTTTTACGTGACGAGTAGTACGATATCGTGTGTGACGATTCGAGCCCTGTTTTTATATGTATGTATGCATGTAGATATGTGACCCACATCTGAAAATTTTAAATGTGAATGCTAGATATCCGGGAGCACGTCACGACTCATTTATTTGGACCTCATCTGCAGTACGAAGAGTAATGCAACGACCAGTCGAAAATGGTCACCATAATATGTTTTTAATAGGTAATAGTGGAGAGGTTATTTGTTGTCCTTAAAGCAACTTGGCGATGTCTATCACGGCAAAGGATTCTTTTATATGATCCAGGATTTGCTAGAAGAATAGTCAGTGCGTGCGCTGTACTGCACAACATTCGTTTGGACGAGCAAACGAACGAGTTCAATGATGTTTTTTCGGACACCGATGGTTTCTTTTCAGAGCCTTCAGCGGAAAACATTTGGGTAAATCTGGATACCCCATCCTCAATAGCAAAACGCGTACAGGACCGACTGATCGCTAATTTTTTTACCTAAGCCAAATATTCAAATGGTATCTACCTGTAAAAACTTCCAATGGAATAATAAGAATAGTTTCATGTAAATATAGCGTTTTATTATTTTAAAATTCAGTCTTACTTTTAATTAAATTTTCTTTAGGTACATACATACATATATTTGAATTTGAGATCAGCCTCAATATGTATACAGAATACATTCAGTGACTGAAGTATAAATTGGGTCGGGACATTTTATGAAGTTTAGGCTATTTTGCTTTGGTTTATTAAATGTTTGGTATTTCTTTATGAAAGCATAGCTCATTACCAAACAAAAACCATATATATAAATCCAAATTACAGACTTTCTAAACTAAAGACTAAAGATTCTAATTAAGAAGTTTAGAAAATTTGGCGAAACTTTGCAGAATATTCATAATTTTTGCACAAAGTCTGCAATTTGAATTTATATGGTTTTTATTTGGCAACCAGCTATGCTTTCATAAAGAAATAACAAACATTAAATAAACAAAAGTAAAATAGCCTAAACTTCATAAAATTCCCCGACCCAATTTATACTTGAGTCACTGAATGTATACATTAGAGTGGTTCAAAAATTTTTTTTTTTGGAAATTCATAAACGCTACCCAAATTATTGTTATTTGTGATAAAAAAAGAAAAACGGTTTTTTTTTTTTGAAAAAAAAGTTTTCTTAGAGGTCGCGCTGGTCGGTTTTTTATAAAATTGCTGATGTCCTCAATTTTTTTATTTTCTTGGCATGTTAAAATGCAGCTAAAAATTTGTTTTTTAGATATAATTACTTTGGTATTATTGGGGAACACTCCCTTAATCACATACCTGTCTTGGACTGTTAGAATGGGCCTAGTTCCCGAAAATATGCTCTCGAAAAGACACTAGTAAAATTAAAACGTTGATACTGAACGATTTACGCATTGTCATGGGTTGGAACTTGTTACCAGGGGGTTTCTGGGGTTGCCGATTAGGAATCTGATGTCAGATTTTCAAAATTCAAAATGGCGGTTAAGAGTTTCAAACAAATCCAATCATTTTTTAAAGTTGGTCGCCATTTTGAATCCATCATTTTGAATTTTGAAAATCTGACATCAGATTCGTAATCAGCAACCCCAGAAACCCACTGGAGACGAGTTTTAACCCTTGAAAATGTTTAAAACGTTCAATATAAACGTTTTAATTTTAGTACTTTTTTGCGTTTTCTTCCATATAAATAAAATAGCATACTTCATATGGAAGAAAATTCATAACGCCATCAGCAAAATAATGATCAAAAATCAATGCGACTTTTAAGCCACTTCAAATTTACACATTATAATACTAAAATTTATAAGTCTGTAAAACTGTATACCGAAAACTTTTCTAGAAAGTCTGATTAAAAAGTTTCAAATGTTGATGAACATTTGCTACGTTTTTTTTTGTTTATACAAAGTGTAAAGTTTAGATTCATTTGGTTTTTGTCAAACAATGAGCTATACTTTATAAAAAATTAATCAACATTAAATAAACTAAAGTGAAATAGAAATAACTGAATCAAATTTCGCTAACATATTTTTTTGGTTATAGGTGTATATACTATAAGTTAAAATAGTTAATGCTAATGTAGCTTAAATTAAAAATATACATAAAAATTTTAAGTCCAGGAGCTAATGACGTCCACCAATCTGTTGAACGCCTCAATCATCAATTTGTTGGTTTCTGTATTGGCGGCACTACATTCAGCTAGCAGCTAAAAAACCAAAAATGCAAAAGTCAATAATATTTTTGCATTTTATTCGTATTCGTAAAGAACGACTAGTAAAGTCTGGAGGTTAAGTTTACTATGGTACAATACATTCGACTTTTATGCACATATATTATTGGTCACTGAGTGTGGAAGAGGTAATATTGATTCTACAAACGCTCTCACAATATTCAGATTAAGTCTGATAAAAAATATTTCTTAGTTTTAATAAAAACGTGAATCGTACATTATACCTAGTAGTGGACGCCCAGACATTAATCGTTTTAATGAGAATTTACCTTTAAAGCATCTGCTTGCTTGCTGGACACTTCCAAGAACTTGCCCTGCATCTCCTTCTCGTTCTCCTCATCTTCTCGCTTCCTTTTTAGACTCATACGCGCAGTCCTTTTAGCAGGAATACGGGGTGTCGCACACATCACCTCGCCATCGTCAGCTGCTGTGGTAGTCGATAGTACGGAGGCAACACTATCGTCTCCATCCTCCAAACGCAATTGCCAATTCTATTGAGGAATATAAAAAGCTTTAGAAATGAGGAATCCAAAATATCACCTGACTCCATATTACCTCTTTCATAGGCACATTTTCGACAACTCTTCCATTGCCCGCAATGTACTCGCTGCCGATGAGCGCCATAACTCGTCTCTCAACCTCTGTTATGGGCTCTTGATTAACCGGCCGGTTGCCGGTTAACGCTTGCTGCCTCTTCCTGTCCCGTACCCTGACACTTGTACGGCTTTTCAGATCGCGCCACACCTGTTTAAAAAAAATGTTGTATCGCAGATTCTGGGAAATGTTTAGTTATTTGCCCACTGTTTTTAGAATAAAGTGTGTACCCTTCAATATAAGCGTGTGTCAAAATTGTTTGGGTCGGGTCACCTGTTCGGGCACACAAGCCCGAAATCATTAGGCAAATTACTGAACAGTTTCCCAGCTCCTCGTCAAATAATTCCAAAACATATACTTACTGTTTGCCATTGTTCGACAGTCTTCACAGCTCCGCCGATGATATTTAGATTTGCCGCCAGCTCACTCCAATTCCTGTCGCTCTCAGACTTACCGTGTATCTTTTGGAATTTGCCCGCTGCTAGTCCCGGGCACTCCGATAAGTAGTCCAGCAGTCTTTCAATTTGCTCGCCTGAAGCGCGGCTCCTCTTTGCTGCACATTGGCTTGTTGAACTCATTCTTAATCGATAGTAAACATATTTATGCATAAATCATAGTTTAAAATGTGTATATTCTCTTTTATAATACTTACATCTTTCAAAAATCTTAAATTTTGTCGAACAGACAATTTAAATTGGCGGCGAACACAAATATAATTGTTTTTTCGTATTCCTCTTTGTGCTCTTCGTAAAATTTGACATTTCATTTCACAGAGGTGCCACGTGCTATCAATTCAAATAAAAAGTGAAAGTCAGCTGTTTAGTGTCATTAAGAATAAGTTAGGGAATCGCAAGATCGTTACTGCAAACATCAAAAATCGTAAAGTAATAATCCGACAATCGCATCGCTAAAAGATAGTGAATCGCACTACAGGCTGCCGGATCGATCGTTGCGCTTGGTGTAGTTGAGGTTATCATCGGCACAACATACGCCTCCAGTTTGAACTCAGTGTCACTGTCAATTGTAGCCTGCATCTTAAGAGTCACATTGCCTCTGGTATAGACCGCGGTTCTGGAACCGATGCCTTCGATTCGGACCTCAACTGGTTTTCTACGGAGACCCATACGTTTAGTTAAAGAATCACCTGGGAACCCATATCGCAGAGGGCACGACAAGGGTGTTGTTGTCCATTATGATCCACAAGACGAACCTTTGCTGTGGCTAGTAAAACGGTCCAGTCATCGTGGACTAGAAAAGACCGAACCGTCTCTGACTATCATTACTTAGAATTACGAGTCGACACTGCTGATGTGTTCGCTACTTCGGCTGCTGGTGCACTGACTGCATCTTCTTCTCTGCAGAGAAAGGTGTGGTGCCGGTGATGGCTGCGTATACAATCCCGCGACGGGCAATCTCGCGCCCCATGGTCGACGCTGAGGCAATTGAAGCACAGTGAGAGCCGCTTCACGGTGTCCCAGGGCTCTGTTACCGGAAGGTGCTTGAACGGGAAGCTTGAGTTGAATTAACGGCTGCTACATGTGCCTTGAGAGACCGTGTTGCTGGTTGTCGATGCGTCGTTGCTACATTAGAAGCCGCCTGAAGCAAATTGTTTGTGCGCTTCTCAATGACTTCATAAGTCATGCAAATTGGGAATGTTGTTAGTCTGGAGACCATGCCCCACTCATACCGCGTGGTAGTTGGTAGCTTGGGCAGCTGAAGTGGCACTGTGAGTGCATCCCATTGAGTTACTGGAAGATCCATTACAGCTAGCACTCGCATAACATTTTGACGGTGTCGACAACTCGAAGAAGGGTCTTCTGCGATTCCGCTGGGTGATTCGGCAAAGTAGAAAACCACATTGTCCCAAATAAGTCGAGTAAGTGTCTTTCACTTGTTTCTTGATTCACGTTCTTGAATATTCTACCCTAAGATCACCAGATACTCCTTATATACATACAGAAGTGTATGAGCAAAATACATACATATGTGTTCTACTCCTAAGTACATCATACATAATATGTGTGTTAAGCGATGACATTGCAAAAATGAACTAATGTTGGTTGTATTGGTGCATTCAGCGGGTACTGATGAGCAGAGCCGAATGTAGGTATGTTCCTGTAGTACTAACGATACCCAACGTTGCATTTGATCAATACCTTACTGTAACTCTTGAACAAATATGGTCGTCAATGCGTTAAGTCAAAGCTGTAAATGGGTTAAATTATTCATAATTTCCATTATAATAAAATCAAATTAACTTAACATTAGCATTAACATTAAGACATTACAGAAAACTGGGTCACCAATGGGTTAATGCAAGATCAAGAATGGGTTAAGACGTTAAAAATTTACTCTTAAATAGAAGTCCAAGCGAGTCTAATGGAAACAAAAGGATTTCAAAATTTTGAGCACCCGTTTATATGGGGCGGCCCCAGTGTGCGACGCCCCAATTACGTAGTTCGCTCTCTCATTCGTAATTCGAACTCCAATTATCCTTCGAATTACGTAACTCGCCATACAAAATTTTGAGAGCGAATTACTCATTTGTTCCTCATCGATGTTGGTATCCCCCCTTTAGGCGCTCCTATATCAGCATGAACTAATAGGGAGGCTCCGCATGAGAACCTGTGTAAGACACGAGCTTACACAGTTTCCTATGTGGAGATTACCGCACCAACGATTACCCCTGCCCTCATCCCTCCTTATTTTTCCCATCCCTACAACCCATCTCCTCCCCCCTAATCCAGGGTATTACACGACACCGTGCCCATTGAATCGTTTGCAGCCAGGGGGTTTAACAGACCGGCTGTATTTGCACGGCGCCTACCTGACACCGGGCCGCCTCAGGGAGTAACGGTGGCCTTACTGCGGCAAGGGGCATGATTTCCCCACGCAATACGCAGACCACTGCCTGCCTCGTCGAGCAGGTGGTCGTACAAGCAAGATGAATCACAACAAAACCAAAAAACAACCCAACAATTGAGGTAATTTAACTTTGGCGCAAGCGCCGAACAAATTAAAAGTTTCATCTTCCCCAAATCGGGAAAAACTCCGCAGGCGCAAGCGCCAAATGCGCCACTTCGCTCAAGAAGGGGCTCGTCCGGGCTGAATGTGGGGACACTTCACGCCGGCCAGTGACTACGGGTGTCATGGTGGGACTTAGCACCAGCAAGGCTGCAGGGATTAGTTGCGTTCCAGATGCTTCACGATTTGCAGGTTTTTACAGGAAGTCGTTCCAGATGACCACCTCCCATAAGGTTTATTAATGGGGAAAACAGCTGTTCCTGCAAATCGTGAATTTCGTGAATATCGTGAAGCATCTGGAACGCAACTATTGTGTTGGAAACAGCACATCAATCTGCGGTTTTGGGCGCTGGGGCCTATCAAACGCCGGCACGGCTGCGAAGTCCAAATCCACAAAAGCAGAGGCCTCACGGCCTGCCCAGAGTGGATTAGGGCGACAAGTGGCCACAAAAGAAGTCACCGGAGGCGTGGAAAAATGAAAACTATGGGCCACGCCACCAAGGAAAACGAGTCTGAGCGGGGTCTCGTTGGACACCTTGCCCCAGAGCGCGAAGGAAGCGGTGGAAAGGGCGAAATCTCTACTACCCAACTTCCAGGTCACTCGCGGGGCTTCGGTGGGAAACCGGGTACCTCCGTCAAAGCGACAAAGGTCGGTGGAGGAAAAACCACACTCCTGGATGGGCAGACCCAGCTTTGAAGAGGTTGCGAAGGACCGAGTCCTCATAGGGGTTTTGGACCGAGGCTACGAGCTCGGGTCCATACCGAAGGACCAGTGGAGGTGTATGAAGGCAGCCTTGGCGATTGTAATTTTTGATGTTCTGCTGGAGAACACCGGAACCCCTCTAGCTTGCAAAGACGCTGGTTGGTGCCAGGGCCACGTAAAAGTGGTCGCCTGTGAGGACCCGAGATCGGTGGCGCTGTATAATGCAAAGATAGTCTCTGTCTATCCAGGGGTTAGGTTGGAGGTTGTAGACTGGAAGGACATTCTAGTTAGACCAAGAGCAAGGGCTTGGGTACCGCCGGCACCAGAGAGCATACTTAAGATGCTTCAATTGATGAACCCGGCCCTTCCGACGAGTGATTGGAGGGTCCTCCGAGTCGAGGACGCTGATGGCCCTCCAAGACAAGTGGTTTTGTCCCTAAATAAAGAGTCACTTGAGCTCCTGGAGAGGCGGCAAGGCCTAGTGTAATATGGCCGCGATGAGGTCATAATAAGAGTCTATCGCGGGGACGCTCAGCACGCCTCCAGTTCAGGTGTAGCAATGGATGTGGACATTGAGGCACCCGACCCGGAGCCGAAGCTGAAGCTCTCCGACGCCGAGAGAAATTACTCCTTACAATCGAGCTACGCATTGACAATGCGTAGGGTTTTTGCGGAGGACGAACTGCTTTACAGGGACGGGGAGTGCGAGGCTGACGTAACTGTCGTAGCCATGGAGGGGGTGGCAGATAACTCAGATGAGAGTACTGCAGATCAACCTCCACAAGTCTAAAGCAGCATCGGCTGCTCTTCTATGTCATCTGTCCAAAGGCGACAGGAACAGTACGTTTGCAACTCAGGGGTTTTGAGGTGTTTTCTGAGCGTGGTAATGGTAAAATTGTAGTCTGCATTTTGGCAAAAGCGGATTTAAATATCTTTCTTTTAGCTAATTATAGTGATGGTGACGTCGCGACAACATCAGAGCACCCTCCTCAAGCAACGGTGCGGAACGGTGTACTTGAAGTATGAAAACGGTCACAATTTGATTGGAAGTGATGCGAATGCCCACCACGTCCAGTGGGGCAGCATAGATATAAATGATCGGGGTGAGTCACTTTTCAACTACCTCTTAACAACTAACCTACTTATATGCAACAAAGGTAGGGAGCCCACGTTCATTACTAAAAACCGTAAGGAAGTATTAGACATAACTCTATGCAGTGAAAGCTTAACCGAGATGGTCGAGGGTTGGCGGGTTTTAGATGAACACTCCTTCTATGACTATCGCTATATTGAAATAGTATTGAATTTCTCTCCAACTAGCCGAACACTAAGCAAAAACTTAAAAAAACACTGATCGGAGCTGCTATAAACAGCTACTTGAAGACAAACTTTCTAGCTTAGTCCCCATAGAACCTGAATGTACTGAGGATCTAGAAAACATGGTCAACGTATTTACCTCGACCTGCTCAGAGGCCCTAGGTGGGGTGTGCTCTGGCAAACGTAAACCCCACTGGTGGTCGTGGGAGTTAAGCACGCTTCGCAAATCTTGCAGGAAGCAATTCAATAAGGCCAAAAGGCTTAGATGTGAGCTTGAATGTCAGGAGTACAAGCGCTTACTCCGGGCCTATAAAAAAGCTCTGAGGGATGCAAAGAGATCTCTTCGTGGAGAGTTTTCTATGGTGGCATCGAAGGTGTTTCCGAAGCTGCCAGGCTACGGAAAATTCTTTCCAGATCTCCCAGCCCGATAGGTTTTTTACAAGAGCAGGATGGATCCTGGACCTCTACGGGAAAGGAAACCCTTGAGCTGCTTCTAGATACCCATTTTCCTGGGAACATACCTCTAAGGGAAAACTCCCCTTCCCTAACTTCTTCCTACGCAGTGAACATATCCATCTCGGAAGAAAGAGTCAGATGGGCAATACAGAGCTTGAAACCATTTAAAACAGCAGGACCAGATGGTATAATACCTGCACGACTAATTAAGATACTGGATGTGTCTGCGAAATGGCTTCTAAGTATTTTGAAGGCCTGTTTCAAGTTTAATCACATACCGTCGGTATGGAGAAATGTCACGGTCGACTTTATTTCAAAGGCCTGAAAGGCCTCACATACTAACCCAAAGGAACTTAGGCCTATCAGCCTTTCCTTCTTTGCGCATAAGACGCTTGAAGGGATTGTTAGCAGCTTTCTTTCTGAGACCATTGACAGTCGTCGACTGACTCCTAACCAACATGCGTACCGTAAAGGTAAATCGACGGAGACCGCACTTCATAGTCTGGTCGCCTATATCGAGAAGTCCTTCAGCATTAAGGACTTTTATCTCGCAGCCTTCTTGGATATTGAAGGCGCTTTCAACAACATACTTCCGGAGGCTATTACTGACGCCTCGAGGGCCCTAGGAGTGGATAACTCACTGACGGAGTTTATCGGTCATCTACTCTGCTGCAGAGTGGTGAGGGCGAGGCTGGGAGCGTGCAAGATGTCGAGGCTTGTGACGAGGAGCACTCCCCAAGAGTTGTTATTTCTCCACCTCTGTGGAACCTGACCGTCAACACGCTCTTTTGTGGAACGGATTGGGGGTAGGGGGGGGAGAGAAAAAGTCATTGCATACGTCGACGACACTGCGATCGATTTCAGGGGAAAGTTTCCTCAAATGCTATGTGAGCCGATGCAGCGAAAGCCTCGGGATGCATCTAAGTGGTCTACCTTCTGTGGCCAAAGCGCCAGCTTAAGCAAAGTGGAGCGGTTAGGTCTCGCTACAAAAGGAAAATTTCTTGACGTTATTTTAGATAAGAAACTGAGCTGGAAGGATAATATAGTTCAGCGTTATGAGAAGGCTTCCGAAGCCCTCTATACTTGTAAAAGGATCATAGGCAAGAGATAGGGGTCTCCGTCCCCGGATCTGTCGATATTTATAGCAGTCGTCAGATCAATCCTCCTGTATGGGGTGATCGTGTGGTGGCATTCGTTAGATAAAGACGTCAACCTCAGGCTTCTCAAAAAGGTGCAAAGGTCCAGTACGATCTGAATAAGCGGAGTTCTCACAACCACGCATAATGATGCTTTGAACGCTATTTTTGATCTTCGGATAGCAATACCCCGACATAATAAATAGGATGGTATCCTTGCGGTCGATGTCTGATTCGATAAGACGACACTGCTCGGTGTGATGCGTGATGAAATAATGCTGTACGAAACCTACTATTGAGAGAAGACTTGCACGAGATGAAGACTTACGCCTGCGCTACAATGACTTCATGCAGGAACTCATCGAGATAAAATATATGGAGCTTGAACCATAATTATCAAACCAGACGTTTTATCCTGTTGTAAAGGAGTCCAGTCTCACGACTAAGCTGAGGGTTGCATTCATAGCATCCTCTAAATGCGCAACCGGAAACTCGTTGAATGACGCCTTATTTGTAGATCCCCAATTGCAGCAAGATTTGTTTTAAATTTTAACGCGCTCCAGAATGCATCG